CATTTGATTCTCCATTATTGGGCACCATAGTATCCCCCAAATAATGGATAATCAGGGCGTTGGGGATCTTCGGGCTTTGGGGTTTGGAGGATTTAGGCTTCTGGGTGGTGAGCGTTCAGGGTTGAGGTTTCGCAGCAGGATGGTGATTGTACGTGATTTTAGCGGTTGTTTCTTGGGGCCAGTCAGCGCAAACCTAGCTTGCAGATGTCATTTGACGATCCTGAGGGTCTCTCTCCTCGCATGGTTACCGTGAACGTGCCCACGGTCATTTCCTTCACTGGTGCTGCGCCAGGTGACAAAGCAGCCCCTTTGCTAACATGAAGCACGGCATATCCGGGAGTCTGTGTAGAGCAGTGCTGGGTTTGTTAAAGGCACTCAAGCCAGCCTTCAATGGCTCAAGAAAGATAAGTTGGGTTCCCCAGACATCATCAAGATGTCTGCAGAGTGGCATTTTTGAGTTTGCGTTGAAGATTGTGGCATTGTTAGCTTCCTGGACAGAAGCCATCAATGAAACCTTGCGTGCTGCACCGAGAAGTATCTCTTGACCGTGAGTGTCTCAGGCTTTCGTGCACTCTGCATCTTCGGATTGCGCGGCCATATCTCCTGAGAAAGATGTTGGTGCTGGACATGCAATGTTCACAATCACCACAGCAGGCCAGGGCATGTTTCCGTCGCATGCAAGTCTTGACATGGGCCACCGCTGTCTGCGAGGTGACTACACCTTGTGCTACCGCTCGGCGGGTGCACAAGATTCTGTTGCCCAGAGCGGGGATGGAGTGAAGCTAAAGGCCTCGCTAAGACACTGCACATGTCTTTGTAGGCTTCAGAGGATGAGCTTTTGAGTTTCTGCTGCAGGTTAAAGCACCTGGCGTCACTAAAGAGATGGTTGGGCGTTGGCAAAGCAAGGACGGACAATTGGACTGCACCTCTCTGACCTATGTGCCCTACTGTGGCGTCTCCCAAGAAGAGAAGTGCAGCCGCACCTACATGGTTCAGTCTGGCATCGGACCCTTGACATGGATTATTGTTGCCAGCTCTTTTTGGTAACCGCTGTTAGCAAGGAAACGGAACGCCCCTCACAATTTGATGCGTGCATCTCAGGCTACAAATGCAGTTGGAACGTTGAAGTGTGGCCTCCAAAGTGCATGGTGGAGTCTTCAGCGGACACCGCAAAAATCTGCACTTCGGGAAAGTGCGCCAATGATGCATGTTGGTGAAGTTCGGCTGTCCTGCTCATCGAAGACCTTCGGCGGCAGCATTAGCTCTGGCTGTTGCACTTGACAGTGTACCAAAGCATGTGCAATGTTCTGCTGAGGTTGAGGACATCTTGGATAACGTTCTTAGCTGAGCAATGCAAAACTGCAATGCTGTGGATTGGATTGCTGGGGATTTCTGTAAGGCTATATAGCCAAACAGTTTTTGGACATAGCGTGTCAACTTATTCAGATCGCCTTTCTCGTGCTTAAAAAAGCGCAAAGCGGCATCCATCGATGATGCAATGCTTGCTTCCTGCACCTGCGCGGGCGTGACATGCAGGAAACCCTAAACCCTAAACCCCAAACTTTTGCGGCAGCTGTTTTCCTTCACTTGAGCACAGGACATCGCTGCCTAGCCCCCTGCTTGTTTCTTAGTCAAGCAAGATGGCACAGACTTTCGCGGACGATCACAAGATTGATGAACTTGTTGAGAAGATCCCCGCAGGCAGGTGCAGCAAATCCCATATAGGGTAATACAGGGTAATACAGAATAATACAGCATAATATAGGGTTATATTAATGGAAAAGAAAATGGACGCCACTATTTAGGGTTCTCTTCCTGGAACTCCCTGGAATTTCCTGGATTTCGGAAGCAAACCTTGTACTATGAGCTTCCTGGGTAAAATAAGATACTGCGACTAAGACTTACACTTCTCATTATCTGAGCCATGGTCTAATCACTCCTCAAAGGGTGATTGTACAGGAGGCTATTATAGGGGTTATTAAGGGAGATATTAGGGGTTTAGACTATGCCTCATTTGGGCAATCAAGACTACCCCCAATATATATATATATACATATATACATATGTACACCCCATAATCCCTATATAACCCCGTAGTTTCCATTTTCTTCTCCACGGGGACCCTAAACCCTAAACCCCAAAAGTGCTTGTCAAGGTTGGTTTTCCTTCGAGTACTTTCCGCCGAAGACTGCGGAGGGGGTCGAGAACCTGCGAAAACGGATTGTGAAGATGAAGGCTACCAAGGGAACCCAAACCCTGGAAATTCTTAGGGTCCTTTATAACACCCCTATATAGAGAATTAGGGAACCCC